ACTGGACACTTAACAAGACGGAGGAAGATCTACTGCTGATATTTGAAAGAGAAATTTTAAGCAAGATTTTTAGACCAGTGAGGCAAAATGAATTGTGGCAAATATTATAACCATGAAATCTATAAGAAATATAATGAACCTAATATCGTCAAAATTGTAAAGGCATCTCATATAAGATGGCTAGGCCATATTTATAGATTGGATGATACATTTCCTTACTAAAAAGATAACTTTTTCAAAAATAGAGTGAAAGAGATGAAAAGAAGGACCCCCCCCCCCCACTAGACTGTTGGACAGTGTAGAAAGAATTTGAAATTGATAGGGGTAAACCAATGGGAAGCTGTGGTACCAGATAGGGGTGAGGGAGAAAATTTTGGGAGCCAGCCCTGGCTTGTAGTAGGCTGTAGAACTCAAGAAGAGATTATAAGTGGCAAAGTGTATAAGATTGCTGAACACTAGCAGGTATAAGCACTTGTAAAAAATATGCACCCAGTTAATGGGCTGAATAAGGAAGTTTTCATAATTTTCATAATTAGTGTAATAAATGTGAATACTAGTCAGTTTCCCTTGGAAATTCTGCCATGAAGGCACTTTAGGCGAATAACTTTCAATTATTTATTGTAATTCATTGAACAACAGCAATAACATTTTTTTCACATAGTTTTAAATCTGGAAATTTATTGTGAAAGTGGTGAAACAGGTACTGCTGAAAAGTATGAAGGCTCAATTTGATAGACAGTAGTTATTAAGTCATAATTTGCTTTAAATTAATTCTTGTTATTGGTGAAAAAACTTTCAATTATCTGAGAATTTGAAATGGAAATTAAGAGCTGTTTCTAGAATATATGGGGGGAGGGGAATAGCTTTTTATTGCAGTTTTCGTCTTTGTAATCTTCACTATTCTTAGTGCTTTTCTGGAGGATAATTTTCATAATCATTTTATTAATTTATAAAACAGGGTTCATAGAATCCTTAAAAGTACTTTAAAAGTCCATTATTTTGGCCAAAATCGGCAAAAAGTCATATTTCTGTTTGTTTTTTACGACTGCAATGAGTGTGAATTGACATTTTGGAGGAATATTTTTGGCCATACATTGACAAATATGTATTTGTTGGGTTAATGTTTGAATTTCTTTCTACTTAATATAAATGGTGGATACTCGAGTTTTAGGCACAAGGCTTTGCCTCAGTTGAAATAATTTCTTTTTTGTGAATGAAAAGTTCATAAAATATTACATTCAAAACAACTTTGCTTTTTTTGGGGGTGTAAGTTCTTTTATTGTGAGATGCTAAACTTGGTGACTTATCAACTTTCTGGCAATTTCAAGACCAGTTTATATCTAAAATTTTTTATTCTCTGATTTGTGAATTTTGAGGGTTTTCTTATGAATGTAATAGCATTGATAAATATCATAAAAATAATGGTAATACATTAAAATTATATTTAATAAATAACATTAAAATAAAACATTTTTATTTTGTGCTGCCATATATTGAAATGACATTACTTTTTATTTTGATGATAGGAATATTTTGATTCTGAAAAATTAATAAATGCTATAAAGCACAGTTCTGAAACACTTCTTAGGGGGGGAAAAAGAACCAAAATGCTACTATATTATTTAAAAGTTAATTTCATTTATCATCTTTTGTATTTTTTCATGGTAAGAATTTCCCCCTGTGTAATTTCAGAATATTTAAATGTACATTAATTTTCTCTTTAAAATTCGCTTTACACGGCGACTTCTTTTTTTTTTTTTTTAAATCTTCTGCCTTTTTACTCATACAGTGTTGGTAGAGGTAATTTTTTCTTTCAGATTTTAGATCTTGCTCCTTGGAAAGTCAGAAAGCAAGATTTAGAGACCTATAATTTCCTGAAAAATGTGACGAAATTTGTCTTCATTGTATTAACATGTGATGGAAGTGTTTGATAGGAAATTTGTGATGAATTTCTTATCTTTTGGAAAATTTTTGGAAGAACAGTGAAAACAAAATTATTTGAATTTGATCCCTGAAGTCTTTCTCTTAGCACTTTTATCTTCCCACTGAACATAAGCATTGAAACTGTAAGGTTTACTATTATTTTTCATTAAATTCTTTTATGTTTTGGATCTTTACTCTCACTTCTCCCTTTCGTTTCCTCACTAGAATACGAATTAAGACTGGAGCATTTAAGCTGAGGTTTTTAGATTCTAAGACAAATAGTGTTTCTGCCTGTGTGCATGCATATTACTTTTCTCCTCAGTTCTAATAGCTTGAGTTTCTTGCCTTTACATTATTTGCTGTTAATATCTGAATATCTATGCCAGTTAACTTCATGAGCCAACTTCACATTAAATTGATTTGTTAGTTCTTAACTACTAGGTTATTTAAATTTCAATTGACTGTCATTAAGTTATCTTGCCATAAATGCTGGCTGAGTGTGTAAGTACCAGGTGTGCCTACCTTAGTTACAATAAAAAGTTTTTTTACACCTTTCTTAAGTCTCAGTTATTAATTTTAGACAGGGCAATAATTCATTATCAGTTTGTTTGGATACAGTTTATGGTAATAAGAAGTTCATAAAACCATAACTTTGTAAGTAAACTATATAAAGCAATTAAAGTGTTTATAAAGCATCATAAATCTAGGCAATTAAAGAAAGCAAAGCTATTGAAAACCGACAATTTTTTAAAAGATTAATCATATATGTCTCAGTGCACCATACATACCTCAGTGCCTGCCCTAAATTAAAAAAATTTTGTTGCTCGGTGCTGCACTAAATTCTAAAATTTCTACCACGTTGGCTCTTGGCACCAGCCTTTACCTTATACCATTTTGTTTTTATTCTGATTAGTCATATTACAGATATAAACTCAGCAGTTTCTTCTATATATTGTAACAAGTAGTTCCTTAGAATAACAGTAATCTTCAGTTAAATCTGAAAGTTCTAAAATGAAGAGGAAGTTTATTGAGAAAGAAAGATATTTTATAAAGAGAAAATTATCCTTCAAGGATACATTTTTGAAAAAATAAAAATTAGGAGACAAAGCAGATTAGTTGGAACATTGATTTGTTTGTTAAAACAAGTAAACTTAAAAAAGGTGCTAAAGTGAAGGAAATTGTTGTAAATTAGCTAAAATATCTGGAAAATTTTCAAATGAAAAAGATGCATAAGCATTTTGTTGTTTTTGTTGCTACAGTGTTTTTTGTAGCTTTCAATGTATATTTATACTAATATGATTTTAGAATTAAAATCAAAAAATGTAATTGCTGTAAAATATTCTTAATGCTTTTTCAATTGATATTTTTAGGAGAAAAAATGTAACCATATAAATCTGTTATGACTAAGGGTAACTAACTATGTAATTTAATTATTTGTAGCTAATTGCTCACCCTTAGAGGCTATCTCCTTTCTTTAATCCTTATTGTGAATTCAAGGAACACAGAAATGTAGAAGTTAACATAAAACTTTATTCCTTACAGCTGACGAGACTTAAATATTACAAAGCAATTTATCATCTTTGGAGTTTCAGTGTCTTATTAGTACTTTTTAACTAGGTTACAACTTCAGCAAATCTACACAAAGCTACGGCATTAATTGGGTCAGCTAACTTTTGCCAATCATACCAATTTCATTCTTTCACATTTATTCTAATCAGTGGCTCACTAAGGAAGTGCATGTGGTGGCAACACTGTTATGAGTCATACTGATTATGTTTTTTACTTCACAATCTAACTTATGCCTATTAACATAAAATTTTCATATACCTCTGGACTGAGTGAGTACATGATGAAATGAGGTATATAAGAAAGAATCAGTATAAAGCTAACTGTTAGTAAATTTTAAATAAAAAGCCACAAATCTTCTTTAAAATATGTGGCACTTTTATAACACTTTTAAAATATATAAGTTTGTATAATTGAATGCTAATGATTTGAAAAAAATATGAAATTAATTTTATTTTAAAAAATTTCTTTCATAATTAAGTTAAATAATAGATTATGCTTAATAATAATATATCCTACTTAGATATTTATTTTATTCTTACAAATTACAGAATTGAAGTTACAAAAGTGGTATTACAAAAGTGAAGTTCAGGTGTAGATAATTGTATAATAGTTTATTCAGTTTCTATTTGCTTGATAGCCTTTAATTTTTTTCATTGGTGGTCATTAGAAGTGCTTAATTTCTATATACAGAAATGTGTACAAACCTGTAGAACAACATTTCTTTGAGGAAAGATGCGAGTGTCAAATTTTGAAAAAGTGAGCTCAATTACCTTTTAACTTTTTTTAACTTTTATGTGTCTAGTTATTTTCCTCCTTATTTGTTATGAATTTGATTTAAATTATAACTTCATTAAGCATATTGACACCTGATAAAACAGTTTGGAAAATAATGCATCTGGATTTAGTCAATATTAATTTTAGGTTATTATTTTATTCATAGATAATTTTTAATATGCCATTAAAGAATTTAAATTATAAAATTGAGCATATTAACTATTAATATGTAAATTTAGAACTTTTTATACATTTAGCCTTTTTAAAAGTTTTATTTGCTTACCTATTTTCAAAATATTGAATTTCTTTATGACCTTTGTTATTATGTGTCTTTATGTTTTGTTATGTAGTTATTTATGTTGTTATTCTTTATATTTGTTTATACTGTAGTTTAAATTTTAGATATTATACTTTAATTTTAGGTGTGTGAATTAAATACTGTAGAGGAATATATTCAAGGTATGTGCAATCACTTGAAATGTTTAGAAGCTACTGCACAACACGAATAACAACTGTACGACTGTATGTTTGGTCATGCACGCTGGCTTCAAAACCATAAAATAACTATTAAAACTCCATAAAAACTTTGGTAACAGTAAAACCGTATTAATCTATGAAAAAATGTTGTTTTAATTGAGATGATAATCAATTTAAAAATGTAATTATGTTTGTTGAATAGTGTGCTTTTTAAAGGTAAATATTTTTCTTCTTTTTTTCCCTATTTGATAACTTAGGTTGAGGAGCCCTACATACATACTTGTTCTGGTGATGGTACTGTTAGAGTCTGGCTATTTGACGAAAAAGAAATTCAGCCACTTTATATCAGAAGACGCAAAGAGCCTTCTTCAGATGAAAGATTCAAACCTTCGCAGTGGAAAACCTTAGATATCAGTGGTGACACAATTTATCTCGGAGATAATTCAAATACTTTAAAGGTGTTGGATTGGAGAATGGGTGAGTCAAAACACAGTAATTATCATATATTTTATTCTATTTCCAGAAGTTATGAAATATCTCTTGCATCTTTGCTATAACATAGATGTTCTTAATTTCATAGTAATATTAATTCAATGTATCTGAAAAATGTAAATTTTTGAAATTTAGTTTAAGTTAATGATATAGCTTGCTAATATGATATAGCTTTCTAGCAAAAGCTGAAGATTACTAAAATTTATGTTGCAGACTGATATCTTCAATTCAAGCGATTCTCGTTCAGATTCAGTGTTATTTATTTTTAAATGAAAAATCATCTTTAATTTCACTTGTTTAATCCCACTTGTCACTTAATTTCACTTCAATAGAAATTCCAAGAACTGGACTTGTTACGACGATTCTGGATTTTAGATTATCATTTTAAATCTAAGATGCCATGCAGAAATTATAAAAATAAAAATATGAAATAGTTGTTTATGAAATAATGAAGCAATTATGACCTTAAGAGAATTAAAATTTACATAACAAACAAAAAAATGAGTATTTATATGTTTGCTTTATTAAACATGTTTTCAATGTAAGTTGTTGAAGTTGCTTTGTTTTTTGTGCTAATACTTAAATTTTATACAGTCAAAAGTCATTAATTCAGGCACCCATAATCCGGAATTATCTATAATCCGGACCTAAAAGCTACAAACTTTCTGCGCATGCGTCATGTTGATGCATAGGACGTAAGCCCTTTACGGATGTGAATATGCGTGTGTGCACGCGCATTTAATGTATAATGGACAGTATAAGCTAAGCTAAAATTATCTAATTATCTATTTTGGTTGATGTTGCAGATTGCGTTGTTCCTTAATCTTCTAATTGGATCCGGCTTATTATTTTTTGCAGACTGTTAGAGCAATTTTATAAAAGTAAGCTTGAACTTTCGATTATGTCAAATAGAATTTCCGATATATATTTACTAATATGTAAAGGATCTATAAAGCGAAAGTATGTTTCGAAGTCCATTGATCAAAAAGTGAAATTGCTGCAAAAAATGAATGAAGGCATATCCTTTGTTTGTCTAGCCATTCCAAAATCTGTTTATAAATTTCACGCTGCTCTGTGGCCGGGGGGGGGGGGAGGGAAACGCCACCGCACGCTATGAATTGGAAGTTGATCTGTCAGCACTATCCTTATCTTCAGGGCAGATGTTTTTATTTTATTTGGCTTATAATTCCTTACTAAATGTAGTATTTCATCTCGATGTACTCCGTCTTTGATATGATTTAAATCAAATTCCTCTTCATTATAATTCGCTTCCGATAGTTATGACCGATAGTTATTATTTAGTTACGACACAGAGGTTATTGAAAATGAAAAAATTTCGATTGACAAATTAGTCGGTATTCTCGACACAGCAATTATAGGACTTCAACAGCGGAATTTTTGTAACTGAAGAAGAAATTATGTCTGTTTATAGAATTAAAGAGAAAGTATTATCACATGAAACGAAGCAACTTAAACAACTTACATTGAAAGAAATGTTTAATAAAGTAAACAAATAGATATTAAGCTTTTTCTTTTTGTAAATTTTGATATCTTTTAGATCATAATTGTTCTTTATTTCATAAATTACGGTTTCATATTTTTAATTTTGTAATTTCTGCATGCCATCTTACCAGATTTAAACTGATGATCTATAATCTGGAAAAATCGATAATCCGGAATCGCCAAAGTCCTGATGAGTCCGGATTAACGACTTTTGACTGTACCACATAATTGTTCAGTAACAAAGTTCCACAATGGCTCTATTGGGAATTCTTGCTAAACTGTCAGCCAAAATTTTTTCGTTCTCGCCAACATAATTTCCATTTTTTCATCATCAGTAGCAATATTTTCTGGATTCTACAGATTTTGCAGTTCGTTTGTTGATTGACAACTTTGGCATTGTCATTGCAATGGAAAAATTCTGTTATACCATCTTTGTTTACTATCATTTGTCCATAAATACCATTAATTGGACCCCTCAGGGGGCTCACTTTTGCGAGTACGGGTGTGGCAATCCCAAGGTACCCAAGACCTTCAGGGGATCATCTTCTGGTGAGACGGGTGTCACGATCCTGGAGCCCCAGTGGTCTATCCTCTTTTCTGTCTCCTCTCCTCTTGGCTGGAACTTTTTCTCTTCACTTCTCCCTTGTGGTTTCTCTCTACGGAGTTTGGGACTCGTCACGAGTGACTGGAGCAGCTCTTGTCTCTAGCTTTCGAGTGGCAAGGAAACTGCCCACGTGTTTGCCGTGCGTGGAGACCCGTGTCGCTGGAAAGGAGGGTCCTGGTAGTTGAGGGGCGAGGTACTGTCCCCAACACACTGCTTTGGCCTCTGCTTCAGCTAAACGGGAGGCACCTTAGTTGTCCTCACGGGTGTCAATCGGCTGGTCACTAGTCCTTGTGTCAGTGGCTTGGGGTCAAGCTCTCGGGAGTACCTGCTTTCGGGAAAGCCGACTGTGGGGCTTCAGTTTGCGTATAGGTCCGGCTAGCCCTAACACAGGAATCTGTGTTCCCTTGTTGGGCTCCGTGGTGGGCGGGGCCGTCGGACCCGAATCTTTCTTCTCTTCAATATGGCTTCTTCACATATATATTTAATTAAAGATTTCGAGGTCACTCCAGTTACTCAAGTCACTCCAGTCACTCAACCTAGTTCTGAAAATCTACTGCTAAACCAGTCACTCAACCTAGTTCTGAAACATCTACTGCTAAACCAGTCATTCAACCTATTTCTGAAACGTCTACTGCTAAACCAGTCACTCAACCTAGTTCTGAAAAGTCTACTGCAAAAAAATTACATACAGATACAAATGAAAAAAATCATAACAATAGTCCCCGTTTCCTAGTCATCTCTAGTCCTTCTGGCGAAATGCATAAGATGTCGCCTTTCATAATAAACAAATACATCCAGTCTTGTATTGGTGAGCCGAGAAATATAAAGCATCTCCGCTCCGGAGACTTGCTTATTGATACAACCTCAGCCACCCAGTCTGCTTCTTTACTTCAGATAACTAAACTTGGGCAAGCAAATGTCACTGTAACACCACATAAGTCACTGAACTATTGTTGTGGTGTAATCTCAGAATTCGACCTTCTGTATGTTTCTGAAGAAGAGATCGCTTCTGAGCTATCTGAACAAAATGTCTGCGGTGTAAGGCGGATCAAGATGCATAAAGAAGGTAAGTTGATAGACACAAAACACGTGATCCTTACCTTCAACACGCCTGATCTGCCTAAGAATATTAAGGCCGGATATCTAAATATTTCTGTAAGACCTTATATTCCAAACCCTATGCGATGTTTCCAATGCCAGCGTTTCGGCCATTCTAAGACGTCTTGTTGTGGCAGCCTCACATGCGCCCGATGCTCACAGATTGGCCACGATTCTGATAATTGTACCGCTGCGCCTTTGTGTATAAATTGCAAGGGTGACCACCCAGCATTTTCTCGCTTGTGCCCAAAATGGAAATCGGAAAAAGAAATCCAGACTACAAAAGTTACTAGGAACATCTCTTAAGCCGAAGCCAGAAGACTAGTCTAGAGCACACAGCTTCGATCAAATACATCATACGCCAGTGCTGTTAAATCATCTCGTACAGTTGCCACCCAAACATCAATAGGCACACAGACCCTACCAAATAAAACCCAACCATCTACATCCAACAAGAAAAAAGAAAATGCAACCCATGTAGTACAAAAAAAAAGAAACAGTTATTCAAAGTAAGCCTAAAACTGCCACACAAAAAATATCAAATAAAAATAGAAGTCGCAGCATAGCAATAGCTCTCTTAATGAGATGATTTCTGAATCTGCGGATTCAGACTTTATGGAAGTGGAAGAGGGTCTAGAAGTTCCCAGGCATCTACTTCCACGAAAAACAAAAGAACAGCACAGGAAAACAAAAAAAAACCATCATAATGGCCACACTCGTGTCATGGAACTGTCGCGGTTTTCACCAAAATTTGCTAGACATCAAATCTATAATAATGTGTATCATCCTGTATGCTTCGCAATACAGGAAACAAATCTAAAACCAGAACAACAGGCAAAACTTCGGAGGTTTTCTTTCGTCAGGAAGGATAACCTTGCAGGTGAACGCGCCAGTGGAGGTGTAGGTCTCCTCTCCTCACTGGATTATCCCTCAAATGTTCTTTCTTTGACGACATCCCTCCAAGTTGTTGCTACTCAAATAAATTTTGATATTGTTGTTTCATTTGTTTCTTTGTATTTGCCTCCAAATGAGCACATTTATCAGCAAGATTTAAATAATCTAATAGAGCAGCTGCCTGAGCCTTTATCATAATAGGAGATTTTAACGGCCATAGTCCGCTCTGGGGTAGTAAAGATACAAATTCCCGAGGAAGACAAATAGAGCAGATGATCGAAGATCATAGCCTTTGTCTCCTGAATAATGGGCAGGATACTTACTTTCATGAGCCTTCAAGGACATTCCACGCTCTCGATCTTGCCATCTGTTCACCATCTCTGTTGCCATTTTGCACCTTTAGTGTCGGAAATGATCTGTACAACAGCGATCATTATCCCATTTTTGTGTCTCTTGTATGAAGACGAGCAAACCCCATGTCGAGACTCTCTCGGTTTATAGTGGACAGGGCCGACTGGGAACTTTTCTCTTCCGTTGCAGAGCTGACAGATGAAATGGGTAGAAGATGCGCATATCGATGATGCTGTTGAAGCTGTTACTAATAGTTATTATTGCGGCAGCTGTACTTTCTATTCCTAGAACGTCAGGAAAAATACTAATATATACCGAAACCATGGTGGAATGGCGACTGTCATGAAGCACTTAAGAAACAAAAAAAAGCATGGGGAATTTTTCGTAGATATCCTACTCTGCGAAACCTCATAGCATTTAAAAGAGCCAAAGCAAATGCACGAAAAGTAAGAAGGCAGAGCCAGAGGGATTCCTGGATTACATATGTGTCCTCAATAACATCCTCTACGACTAGTAAGCGGGTTTGGGAAAGAGT